TTTCCCAAAATAGATACCTATGTGTACTTCTACGAGCAATACCTCAAAAACCAAACATGGCTTCATTATACCTTACCTTATATTTTAAAAGGTCGTATTTTATAGGTTAAAACCATGCTAAATCAATATTTATTAACTTTTTTGTTTGATTTCTAAGGATGATTTTTTTAAAATGTTGTTAAAGTTGAGAATTGTCAACACTTGTGAATTTGAATTGTCCCTTTATGGAATTTCTTTATTTATTTAGTGATTTATTAACAATTTTATTCCCTCAGTAAGGATGGTAATCTGTTATTTTGATGTATTTTCAAAATTACAGTTAATTCTTTCATTTTATCTGTTTTTATAACATGCAAAAGTTTAAAAAACAATTCATGAGCACAATGTCATTGATTATTTTCTTTGTGATTTTTCTCTTACTTCTACAGTAATTGTAAAAACGCTTCTCCTCTTCAGAGACTTGATGAAGAATATCCAATTCTAGTTATTCAATAGTTTGTTTTAAGAAGTATTTAACTATAATCCACCCAAATCTATTTTGATAAATTATGTGAGGTGAGGCTCTAAATGGTTTTTTCCTCAAGATTTACTAATCATTTATTCAAACATGATTTATTGAATAATTTCCCATTCCCTTGTGATTTATAATGCTCTATTTATGATTTAAATTTTATAGAGAACTACACTATCTCTGGTCCAAAGAATTACTTTAAGTTTAAAATCTAAAACTTAAAATACGTTTTTAAAACTGCAAAATATTGTGATATTCGTGTCTAATTCTGTGTACACATGGCAGACACTTTGAAATAGCTCTCCGAGGGGAGAAAAACATTGAAATCACTATTATAGCACCAAGTACAGAGTATACTTAAGATGTTTCCTTTGCAGATAGAACTTCAGGGCAGCCTACAAATGACAGGTTAGCTTCGGTTGTGCAGGATTGTTTTCAGCAACATTAAGAAATCATATTACAAGCATGGATATTTGGCACAAATATTTAGCTAAAAGGATGTTAATATTAGCATTATTGATAATTTGAAAAAATAGAAATAAACTAAACTCTGTAAACATGAACCTATCTATGTAAATCATGGTATCTCCTAACAATTATTACAACAGATTGTAGAATGGCCATAACCTGGAAAATATTCACGGAATATTATTAAGTTAAAAAAAATTAAGTAGTTCATAAAAGAGAATGGTACAATTGGATCCCATATTGGTAAACTGTACGTATAGAGTATTATATACTCAAATATTATTTTCTTTGCTATGTAATCAGAGGGAAAAATACTTGAAAGATCTCCAGCACAGAATTATGAAGATTACCTCATTATCTTCATGTGAATATAGTACATGTCTGCATAAGCACACTGGAATTAAGCAGCTATCTGCACTGGTTCTTTCCTTGATTTTCTCTGATTTTTTACTATAAATAGACAATTGGCATTAGGTGAAATTACTTTGAGGAGGTTGGCTCAACAGCATAAAAACCCCAGATTTCACTTTCTTAGAATACTAGGTTTTTGTTCAGATAGAAAATACTCTGGCACCAAATGTTACTCTCCTGTATTTCTTAGCTTGTGCCACTAACAAAATTTAGTGATGAAATTCCAGGAAACACTCAGTATCCTCTTGAACACACCCAAAACATCATATCGTTGATTTGTAAACTCAGCAGAAAAAAGGGAAAATGTGCACCCCAATAGCTAAAATCTCAGGGTGAATGGTTATCTTGAAATATCCATGAAAAATTCTTTTGTTGCCTTTTTTACCTTGTTCTTATGTACGTCATGGCTACTCTAGGAGTTATGTATCAATTGATGGCAACAAGACCAAGCCACTCAGTGTCATTTGTTTGGCCTCCTTTGAAAATTCTATCCTCATAAAAATTGTGTACAGAGTGTGGTTTTGCTAGTTTGGTTATTTTGGGTTTGCTGACCATTAGAGACATTGATGGTATTTTATTATGCCAGATAAAATTCTGTGTCTTGCTCTTAGAGCGAAGTATTTTAAAAGAGTGTGTTAACTGTGAAAAAAAAAAAAGACTAGGCTCTGGAGTCCTCTAGAAACACTATATTTTCCTACAGAAAGAGACCTTTTGAAGGTTAGGAAGAGAACGTGTATTTTATTTGGGAATGTAAGAAATCTTTTTGCCTGTGGACTAATACAAGCCATGACTGAAAAGTAATCAGAGAAATCCCACAAGCCACAAGGGACAATCAGTTTCATCACTTTATAGTCACATTTCATATTCCCCTGATTTCATGCTGTGCCAATCTCAGAAAGGAGGCTAGAATAGGAAACAATAATTGAAGCTTTGAATTCGTTGCCGAATAGTGATATTAATATCTTTTTTTGTTAACATTATAGGTCAGGGTGATGGTTGAAGGAAAAGCTTACTTTTTTGTGAAGTTTATGGAAGACTGGTATGAAAGGAAGGGCTATTGTGGTAGAGATGGAATGGGAAAACCAATGAAATGTATAGTGCTTCATTTTAAGTGTTGGATTTGTGCAAAGGTGATATTAAAAGTATTTAATATTTCACACCACATAGACAATCCACAAATTCAGAGTAAATGCCAGAGCTGCCAGGATCCTGGAGGCTGGCTGCCCCCAGGCATTAATAATTTATTTTCTGGAGTGGGAGAGGTCTAGGAAGTCCTGGGGAAGAGCAGTTTAGGGGATGGGAGGTACTCAAGGATCTTAGGACAGAGACTATTTCACAACCAATATGGAAATACATCAATATTTTAATAACTGGAATGCATATCAGAAGCTGAAGTTCTTTCAGGGTACATATCTGAGCAGTTGTGCCCAAGATTTCAGATTTCCAAGTATTATTCAGAACTTAGAATACAAATGTTTTCAATTTTAAGAGACTTCTTCCAGTAATTTCCCACCACCCCATCCCTTTAAATTCAGTGATGCTGTCCTTTGGCTGACCTTGGTTGCTTAGGCTTCCCAGCTCAAGTCCTAAGAGAGGCAATTTTGATTGACCCATTGAAATTATCAGCAATATCATTTTCTGTGTGGCTTCTGATGGAAACAATCGTCAAGATAGTGACCCTGTCCTAGGTCTCCTTTGAACGATTCTTCTGAGGCTGCTGGCCTGTGCCCACATCACGTATCACTGTTTCTCTTTAACTCACTGAGCAGCTTGAATAGCCACTGAGCCCCAACATCTGGGTCTGACTTGGAGGAAATACAACCCATCACAGGCACCTTTTAAAATTATCAATTAAAGGTGTCAAAATACGAATTTTTTCCATGGACAGAAAACCCCACTTTCCCAGGGAAGACACTTTTGTCATCCTTAAACTCATTAATGGCTTGACTTACATTTGTATTTTAACACGTCTGCCATTATTTGGCATTTGTATTTCCATCTCAATTTTTTGCTACTGTGGGTAGCAGAGAAAGTTTGTTTCTGAGTATCATTTGTTTTCTAGACTCTCTGCCTGATTTAACCTTTAATCTTCAATAATCTGCTCTACAAAGTAAATTTTCTCTTATTCTTCCTCCTGCCTCAACTTCCTGAGGCTTCCTGTGCTTCTTCAGCTTCCTGTGACTACAGGCACACACCACGGCAGCCAGCTCTCATTTCTCTTATTTCTTGTTGTGGAGTTTAACTTTAAGTCACCCTAAATACATCTTAATGATTTTTTTGGTCAATAAAAGATTCTTTATTTTTAGTCAAATGGGAAGAATCTCGTATTTTTAAATCTTTTTTCTCCATGCTAACCCTTGTTTCCTCCCCTTACATAAAATACCTATAACTTTGTCAGGTGGAAGAAGAAGGAGAATAGATCCACAGGTGAGATAATTTATGAACTGATGATTTCACAAAAAGAAAAAGAAAGGCAGCACAAATACAAAAAGGTGGAGATGAGAAACTCTGCTAAAATTAGTGTAGGGAAATGCAAATTATCATGAGAAAAATCATAGCAGAAAAGTTTCTGATGGATCGATGGGGTCTCTTTTTAATTCAGATTTTAGTCCTCCT